AAAAAATGTTGGTATCGTTAGAAATCCTATAGATCACTAATCATTATTTTATACGTCTTGTCAATCCCCTAATACTCTGGAACAATTTTAACCAGTCATAAATTGAATTCTATAGAAAATAAACTAAAAACTTCGCTTTAGGTGCGGTTGCTCAAAGCCAAGTAGACACCGTGTTATATGCATGGAGTCGAAGACGTCGATAACGATGTTAACCGAAGAATAGTGTCAACCAGGCTTTGAGCAACCGGCCCTTAGTCTGCTTTACTTTTATTTTTCGTTAAATATTTCGTGAATTAAAAAGGAGCGCCAAATGTATGACTCGTCCGGGGCGTCTACATAAGTAGATGGTTAAAACTGACCCTGTGTGTGGAATCACATCATCGACGCACTACACATCTGACTGTTAAAGCTTAAACTCGGACTTAATCCGGATCAACTGCAGTTGATGCCCGAGTTGACCCGGCTGCCGTCTGTTTATGCTTTAAGGTAGCATGCTTCTGACCTGATAATAGGCTTTGCTACTTATATTTTCATAAAAATTAAGCATTAGCTCACCCCCCTAATTCGTTGGTTAAAAATCCTTCGGATGCATTTATAATTTATCTTTACATATATGTACTGTATGGTCGTGAATAACTGATAAGTAAACATATAGAATACCAAGAAAATTTGTACCTACCCAGCAAACAATTAGGCTTGATATACATTTGAGAATGATTTGAAATCAATGTCAAACGTCAAACGTTTGAAAATGATTTGATATTGATTTGAAAATTACAGCTTTCTCATTAAAAAGGGGAGTTTGATCTCCATTTGAGAATATGGTCAACTTTCAAATCAATTTCAAAGGCTATTTATCAATTGTACTTCAAATCTGGAAATCGAATTTATTATAGGGAATTTCTTCGCGATGTACATATGTATGTACATAACAAAAGAAACAATTAAGATAAAGTAATTTATAATAAATTCGTCTTGAAAAGCTGCAACTTCTTTAATCCGCGCAAACATCAAATCCGCTATTTGTGGGCTCTCTCTTTGAAATTTTTTTCTAATCATTGTTTTTTTCAAGGAATGAAACCGAAACCCAAACCGAAACCGTAACCGTTTAAAA